TAAGACCATAGTCAGCCCTCACCATTCTCCCAAGATAGAAAAAAATATGTACATCTTTATCGTTTTAGGATTATATTTTTAGCTTCTTTTTCTATTATTATGCCTTAGGTTTGCATTATTGGTACCCTTATTCACTTTTGTGTGACATGTTCCTTTTGCAGCAAAGAGCAGTTGGAGACCAAACTTTTGTATGCGATAAATGCGGATGCTGGTTTTGATTTGAGCTAATGTTGACTCCCCGTCTCCTTTTTGAACAGAATCAATGTAATAGCTCCATTCTTTGGTTGATGGAACCCTATTTTTTGACTCATGATATAGTACCATTTCTATTGAGCTTTTATGGTAATGATCAAGGACCATTTACCAAGGCCATCATGGAGCATACAAACAGTATAAAAACAGATTAAGGCCCGAGTATAGTGGTGTACAGATACATAAAGCCTAGATGCAGTTTCTGTTTCAATGTATATACATGGCAGATACTCAGTCCCAACTTCGCGAAGCTCATGTACTCCAGGACTTCTCGCAAGTGGATGATTCTTGTAAAACTGTAGTTCATTGAAGGCATCTGTCTGTTGTACTAGTCTGTAAAGTAGAAGGAATGTTTTATTGTAACTCAAGTCAATTGTAGAAGCTATAATTATACTTTGATATTGACATTGATGGCTGGTAGAAAAATAAAATGGGTGTCAATGCATGGTTCTCAGTGATCTTCTTTTTTTCTTACCTCCTTCGAAGTCGCGAAATGGCAACGAGCCTTTGTATTCGTTCGCAGTTTCCGGTTCTCTGCTCTCTGCATTACTGCATCTCAATGGATTAATTGAATTTGCTTGATTTGTTTGGTAGTTCTTCTCTTCCTCGCAACAAACTGGACCATAGGTTGAGCAAAATTATTTGTTAAGTCTTCTGAATTGGGACATCCATGGAACTTCAAATTTTCTTGGTTTTTATTAATGTTTTTACAAAAATTTCAGGTAATCAATAAATCTGAAAATCTGTCAACCTTTTAGATTTCAGATCTGATGAACAAATCTTGTTTCCTCTCAAAATTTCAATTACGAATGTTTTTGACTTCCGCTCACTTCACTCATTTTATTTGTTTATTTTGGTTAGTGAAAAATGTGGCCTTGTGTTATCGTCATTTTCAGTTCTATAAAGAGGTTTCTTTCAAGAAGAAAAAAAAAAAAAAAACGAGAAAATAAAGAGGAACCAAACGGTTGATTTCGCCAGAAGAGTTTCCAAGAAAAGGATAGGGGAAGGTCCACCAGCAAGTCTCAAGAGTCAAGTTCCTCTCCCCTACATGTATCTCTCCACAGCAGAGAGTTACAGCAAGATTATAGGAAACGAATCCTAGCACATACATACACACACACATATATATATATATTACTTTGTTTGTGTGTGTGTGTGTGTATATATACATATTCGTTAATGAAAAAAGAAATCAACGAAAACCGAGTAGCTATGGTGAAGGTGCGCATGAACACGGCCGATGTGGCCGCAGAGGTCAAGTGCTTGAAGCGGCTAATCGGCATGCGTTGCTCCAATGTTTATGATCTCTCGCATAAGGTCCATTTCCTTTTTGTCCTTGATTTTCTTCTTTGTCGATATCATTTTCCATAATTTGAGCTTGTACTAAGTGGATATTGATGATGGAACTATTGTTGATTGATGGTCTACGGTAGACGTATATGTTCAAGCTAGTGAATAGTAGCGGAGTGACGGAATCGGGAGAGAGCGAGAAGGTTTTATTGTTAATGGAAAGCGGTGTCCGTTTGCACACCACTGCTTATGTTCGGTAATGTTTAATTCTCTAATTTCTGTATGGTTCCGCCAAAAGCTTAAAGAAAAATAATGAGAAGTCAATTGATTCTCGATTCCTGTTTCTTCATCTTTTTCTTTTTAGTTTATCTGCATGTGCTGATTTCTAGTTATCATTGACGGATAAAAGATTAAGAGGGCTTCTATAAGCTATAGGGTTTATGAGATATAGCTCACGAATTCTCAATTTTATCCAAATGAAAAAAAAGTGGCTTAAAAGGAGGAATACCACAGATTGTATAAGGATGTAACATTTAAAATTGTTGAAACGTTGTTTTGGTCTATAATCGGGTAGTACCAGTATTTTATAGAGAGTTTACAATCTCTTCAAAATAAAGGCTACTTTAAACTGCTGATGTAAGAGCTTTTAGCTTGTCAAGCTTGTAAGCTCTTACTGAAAAAAAATAAAAGCTGAACCAAACACTCACTGAGGAACGATTTTTTACCTCTGTAGTTCATGGAAAAAATGCTAAATGAAATGGTGGCTTAGTGCAAAGTTTATCCTGTGATTGCTTCAAGGAAAGGTGGCTTAAGTGGAGCCTTATTATGATTCATAATTGTGACATATCAATTCTATATCTGCTTCGTTATTCTTCCTTTTTGGAGAAAGAAAAGATAACCTGACAAAGAAAGAGAAGAAAATCAATTAAGGATGCTGTTAACTTTTGGCATAGTCATTGTTCACAGAGACAAGAGTAACAGTCCATCTGGGTTTACTCTGAAATTAAGAAAGCATATTAGAACAAGAAGGCTGGAAGATGTGCGACAGCTTGGTTATGATAGGGTATGGCTCTGTTGAATCCTTCTGTATATTTGACCATCAGTTTACTGTATGGTTGTGAATTTTGTCTAATTTCGTCTTGCATTATTCTCAGATTGTTCTCTTCCAGTTCGGTCTGGGCACTAATGCGCACTATATTATCTTGGAACTGTATGCCCAAGGAAACATTCTCCTTACAGATTCTGAGTTTACAGTCATGACTCTTCTCCGGTCACACAGGTTCTAGTCCAGTTTCCATTCTTTATTCCTTTCTACGTGGCACATACAATAATCAAGCATAATGGTATGCTTTTTTCTTTTCTTGTTTTAAAGGGAGGATGAAAATCTCTTTAGTGGCTCTTGGTTGAGCATACTTGTGGGAAGCAATAAATGATACATCTTATTTTGTTTAAATGGTTTTGACTTTTAGAAATATGACTATAAATCGCAGGGATGATGATAAAGGAGTTGCAATCATGTCGCGTCATCGGTACCCAACTGAGATATGTCGAGTGTTTGAGCGAACTTCCGCTTTGAAGTTGCATGCTGTGCTCACTTCTCAGGAGCCTGATGATGGTGAACCTCTTAAGGCTCACAAAGGTACAACTGAGGAATCCAACACATCAAAAGAGAAGCACGATAACCGCAAGGGCGGGAAGTCTGCTGAGTCAAAGAAAAGCGTTGGTGATATTACTCGTACCAAACAAGCCACTTTGAAGAATGTTCTTGGGGAAGCATTGGGTTATGGGCCTGCACTTTCTGAACATATTATTTTAGATGCTGGTCTTGTTCCAAATACAAAGGTTTCCAAAGATGGAAAGTTAGATGATGATAAAATCCAGATGTTGGTCCAAGCCATTGAGAAATTTGAGGACTGGCTTGAGGACATTATTTCTGGTGAAAGAATTCCTGAAGGATACATTTTAATGCAGAAGAAGAATTTGGTGAAGGAACATACCCTATCTGAACCAGATGGTTCTATCCAGGTTATAATTATATTTCTCAATGTTTCTTTATTCCATGTTCCATAATCTTGAGTAAATAGGTGTTTTTGTTGTTCTTTTTTGTTTTAGTTTCTTTTTAAATTTGACAAAGCGGACACATTGCAAACAAACGGTATGAAATTTGGGCGTCCAGTTTCATAATGTTCTCATGTTTAGTTATGTTTTGCAGATATATGATGAATTCTGCCCTATTTTGTTGAACCAATTCAAATCAAGAGAGAATATGAGGTTTGCAACATTTGATGCAGCTTTGGATGAGTTCTACAGCAAAATTGAGAGTCAAAGGGCTGAGCAGCAGCAAAAAGCAAAAGAGAGCT